ACGCTAATATCGTTATCTTTATAGTTATCTTTATAGTTATCGCTCTTGGTGTGAACGGGGCTTAAGGCACACCTGTGCAATAATCATGTTGTCTAATCAGCATCTTGATATGCCTCACCTGTGAGGTGGATGGATTATCTTGGCAAAGGAGAAGTGCTCACTAACACAGATTTAGACAGATTTGTGAACAATATTTGAGAGAAATAGGACTTTTGTGTACATAGAAAAAGTCTTAGATCTTTGAGTTCAGCTCATGAAAAATGGGGGCAAAAACAAAAGTGTTGCGTTTATAATTTTGTTCAGTATATTATGAGTGCTAATTTACTGTATGCAATGGACACTTTTATGTTATACCTAAAACTGTTAAAGGTGCTGTTTTTGAAATGTTATAATACATTTTCCTATCCTATTTTAAGTTTTAGTAGGCCATTTGTAGGTTGATTGGCAGTTTTGAACTTTCAAAATTGCCGTTTTCTTTTAGCAACCAATCTATCAGCATTGGCTCAACTCCATTAATTTGAATTGAGAAATCAGTTTTTCCAAACAAACCAAAGATGTCATGTTTTGAAAGCTTGTTCAGAGACAGCCATCATTTCTGCAATTATGACTGATGACTTTTTGATGTCTTTCAATAAGACAAAAATAATCTGTGATGGCATTTATGCCTGTTAATAAAAGAGTATGTCCTGTATGTGTTTAATATCAACTCTTTATCTCACCTGGTTTGAGTTTCAATGCGCCCTCCAGATACTCGTCTGATGTTATTGGTTTATCCTCCTTTATCAGTTGCAGAGTGAAGTCGCGAACAGCCCAGACAAAGGATGGAAAAAAACGCATGAAATCTGCCGATCTGTCCTTGTCTTGACCCACTTCTGCCTTCACACGAATGTTCTCCGTCAGCTCTGTAACGTAGCTACATTCAGCGCTGTTCAGGAGGAATAACACTGGTGCCATTTATTAACTGTGTTTATTAACTGTTAACTCTGAATGAATACATCATATATGTGTGTGTGAGAAGGATACTGCAGCTTTTCCAGTGCCATGTTGTCAATGACCCCTAAGCTGTTGTACACTAGAGTACTGCTGAGAAGAACCACCAGACAGAAAATCCATGTGTCATGTTTCTCATCCCCCTGAAATATCAAAAGTATGTGAGCACCAATAAGTGGCCACTTATTTACATCTAGTAGCAAAGGCCATCCAGTTTAGAACTGATATGTAAAGTCCTAATAATTCTATGCAGTGAATCTTCTCATCTAGTGATGGTAGATTTTATTGCTATATAGAGATATCATTGCTATGAATGCTTTGTGGGATTCCTTCCTCCTCACCTTCTCCACGTCACCAAGTCCCTCTGTGTCCAGCAGCACCATAGTGTGTCCTTTTTTATTAGGGTGAGGGACACACCACATCCAGATGCCTTTGGTCTTTGATTCAATAGTGCTGCCGAGAGCAAAGCCTGAGACAATCGCATTATTAAAATCAATTACAAATAAGGATGTCCAAAATGACAAACAAATCTTTTAAAAGTCCAGACGCCAATCCAGAACTGAAGAAATGCAATCTTTGTATTCAAGTCGGTTTTCTCTGAAAAACATATACTATTTCTAAGAAAAGCGACTCCATGATATCCTCTCCGTGTCGTCATTTTCTCTTTTATGATTGTCACATGCGATCCACATAATATGGTTTCCTGCATGTTGGTAACACAACCTGATTTATATTTTCTCAATATAAAAAATATTTTCTCTATTTCCTCCTCTTTTTAAAAGAATAATAATGATGGCAAAACTGCTTAATAATTTTAGCTTTCTAGTGCGCTTTTTTTTTTTTTATTGTTGCTTTGGCAAATATTCCAGTTACCGTGGGCATACATCAGCACTTAGTGGTGAGAATGCAGCATCATTCAACTGTTTTTAGTTACCGATGCCATTATTGAAATGCTTTACTCAGTCGGTCATGATTCTGTGAGCGGCAATGTCAGATAATGGGAGGTTACTGAGATTAAGCGAGTATTATTCGCCTGGTTATACAATCTCAACCACTCCAAGTAAAATAAAACGGGTTTTATTGGCCAGTTGTTATGACTGAAGATTCATGTGGGTGTGCACAGCTGTAAACATAAAGAATCTTTATGTGTAAAACATTTTGTAATGAGGAAAAAAATTTACTGAGTACACATATAATTAAAACTTTTTTCTTCATTACCATCTCAGGACAGCTATACCATATTTACTTTGTGCCCCACAAAAAAATGTAACTAAAATGTAATTTAAGATATCTTTTCAGTAAATTATTTTTTGGACACAAAATGAGCATAGACCTTTTATTAATATTTTAACTTTTACTTTATTATTAATTTATATTTATTGTTTACATGAATGAAATGATCTCCTTTTAGTGAAGTTACCGTTTTGCACATATTCAGTTATCGTGTCAGCCTTTTCTCTCACCGGACTGTTGTCCTGCCAGGCGGTTCATAAGGTAAGACTTCCCCGTACGGTAGAGTCCCACCACAGACACCACCACCACCGGCTCATTGATCCCATCCAGAATGTCTCTGGCCTCTTTCTTCACGTGCAGCTTCCCATTTTCATCGTTTTCAATAAGACACACCGGAGCGGACATGAGCCCACCACACGCCATGACTATAGCGAAAGAAAACAACAACAAAAGAGTCAATTAAAGGCAGACTGAGAAAAGGAAGCCGTTTATTAAGCCTACCGTTAGCAAATCGATTTGTTTTAATAGCAGAAAGCGTAGCCTACCGTTCTTAAATTCAGACCCGCACAAACTCGATCGTCCGAGGCTCCTCCCGTCTTAAATACGTTATTCTTGTTCCACCATGAGTCATTTACCAGACACGCTCTCTCACTGCTGCTGGCACGAGTGAGTGAAAGTGAAAGTAAGCTGGTTTGCTGGAGGCAACGGCTAACAGTTACATGGGCTTCCCAGAAATCACCTGTTTAACATAAACAGCTAAACATGGGCTCTGGGTGCCACCAGTGTTGGACACTTATAAATAATAGAGGCAGTTTAGGCACCACGTGGGCCCCCCGAGCAGAGGTGTCATATGCCCATTCAAACCGAGAGGGCACGTGCCGCTTAGATTTTTGACCCAAGTGGATTTTGAATGCAGCTTCCAAAAGACAAAAAAATTGCCTAATAATATTTTTACATTTGATATGATCACACCGGTGTGATTACCATCAGCTGCTCAATTCAAATCTGCGTTCGCGCTTTGGGACAGACGCTCACTCGTCATCTATCAGTGTTTTCAACCATATAATGTTTATTTTATGCTTCTCACACTGTCGCAAATAAAGTGAAAAATTAAATGAAAAGTGTGGATTGTGGCATTAAATTTATATCTGCTCACGTTGCATATGTTCTTTTTATGCGTTTTTGCAGAGTTGAGCATTAAACCAATCACAGACGATTCTGTTGAGCTTATGAAAGCAATGTCCAATCAGAAGCGTTCAGATTAGTCATCGCAGAAACGCCGGGGAGGTTTGTTCAGTGCGCCTGCTCTCTGACTGAATTCAGCACTCTCTCTCATCTCATTGCAAATTCTCTAATCATAAACATAAGAGTGCAAATGTGTGTACGATGTAATTAAGGGATTAATTTCACAGTGTAGACAGCTTCATTGATTATAGACAAACGAAACACTTATTTAATAATGTCGTTAGTTTTACCATCAGTTCAAGCCCGAAAGGGCAACAGAGTGGCGTGACAGACACAGTAATGATGCAGTACACAAGCTGGGGTTAAGACAGCTACTACACTACAGACATGCTATGATTTCTGACAGGCAGTTCACTCTCCTGTGATGTGACCCTGTTCCCCTGCAAACAAAGTAAACATTACATGACAAGTAAAGGTTAAGCGATTGCAGAAATGTTATTTATTTTAAGTTTTAAAGGTGCTGTATGTAAGTTTTTGACTCTACTAAAGCATAAAAATACCGTAATATGTTTGCAGATATTTAAGAAACATGCTAAATTAACATATTTGTTTATCTGAAAAACAATGCTACAGTCATTCTCCTTTGAAAACGTGCTTTCCGGTGTAGTGCCGAAATTAGTAGGTGTGGGGGAGGGGTTAGGATTAGGGGTGGGGTTGGGATTAGGCAATCAGGTAGCGACTTCAATGAGGGGGTGCATAATCTGGCAGGGGTGCAGAATTTGGCACAACACGGGCCGGAATGTCGTCTCTGTTTTGGTTTGTGAAACCCGCCCACTGCCAGTTTACCCAATTGTATTTCGGCACCCCGGGTTGCCAGTTGGCGGGAAACACAGCGTATTTCATTTCAGTCATGGAAGCTGGCAAACGAAAGTGTTTGTGTCGTCAATCTGGCAACCTGCGTGTGCGGCAAGTCTGAGGAGGAGGGACCGGGTGAAAAAAACCCTCTCCAACATTTTGAATTTGGACTGCAATACCTAGTTCAACCACTCGGTGTCAATCCTACGTACAGCACTTTAAATACAAAATCAGTCGTATTAAAATAAGGCCTACATCAGTTATACACCCCTCACCAGGGTGGCGCTAGGGGTGGGCTAAGGGAGATGAAGCCCAGAATGTTTTCAGTAAAGCCCCGAATGTTTTTATTACTATGCCCTGTACCAATCATCACTGAGTTTCATGCGCATTAAAATCATTTCTATTAGAACCGCAGTTTTGCTCTCTGCACATCCAACAGTGCATTGTCTCACTCTCTCTTAGGAGTAATGGCTGCTCAACGTCTACCAGAACTCATTGGAAGTTTAATAATAATTTACTAAAATGTAAATCTTTTTGTAATTCTATTTCATTAATGATTAACAATGTTAAAACCATGTCTGAATGAACCCCAATTGGCAAATGGGAATGGGTCAAATTTACTATTAAAAAAATAGCAATTAAGGAAGGGAAACAAATTGCAAATGCTAGAAAATTTAGGCAGACAACAATTTTATGAAGACTAAATTATTTCGGTAATAAAGACATCCTTAGTGAGAGTAAGGAAAAAGAACTTCACATTCTTCAATCAGAGTTGGATGATTTTTATACAAAAGGCTAAAGGAGCATTTATACGATCTAGAGCCAGGTGGATTGAGGAGGGGGGGGAAATTCTTCATATTTCTTTAATTTAGAAAAACATAAACAGGCTCTAAAAACTATGAATACACTTAGCATTAATAATTGTATAAGTGAAGAAAAAACACTAATTGATGACTACATATATTCCTTCTATAATGATTTATATAAATCTAAATGTACAGAAAACGATTGTGATCTCTTCTTTTCCTTTTTAAAAGACAAAATTCCTATTATAGACTCTGATTTTAGAAATATGATGGAAGCTGACATTGAGATTTCAGAATTAGACATTGCTATTAAGCAAATGTCTATGGAAAGTCCCCAGGTATTGATGGCATCACAGTAGAACTATATAAACATTTTTGGCCCGAAATAAGAATCTTAGTTTTTGAAGCATTAAAAGAATGTATAGATGAAGCTGAATTATCGCCATAAATGAAGTTTAATTATTCTAGTTCCAAAGTCGAACAAAGATCAATTATTTTTAGACAATTGGAGACCAATAACTCTTTTATGTAATGATTTCAAATTGTTCTCTCATGTTTTTGCGAATAGACTTAAAAAGGGTATTGGTGAAATTATCAGTGAAACACAATCAGCTTTATCAAAGGGAGAAGTATTCACAGTCATATTAGACTAGTTCTTGATATGCTTGATTATAACTATTTAATTCCTCAGACAAGCTTACTTCTATTTCGAGACTTTTTAAAGGCCTTTGATACCCTTGAACAC